TCAGTCTAAACTTTGAAAGGTTCATTGTTTCCCAGTCTTAGCTGCTCCAGAGTAAGATCATAGGGTTTATCTTGGTCATAAATCCAATCACCTTTTCTTTTCCAAAGTAATAGGAAAGAATAATTTATTTACATATCTTGAAGGGGCTGGAGAATTTCACATTTATCTATTTTCCTGTAGTAAGTTCAGCAGCTAGACTATTCTTAGAACAAGATAAACTAAATTTTAAATTATTTTCTATGTTATATATAACGACTCATATTTTTAACTCTGAAAATACTGTTTTAGGAGTTTTGCTTAATTTTAACTCCTTGGTTTGTATATTTTGATTCTGTTATTTATAATTTGACCTTTTTTAGAATCTGTAGTTTAAGTGAAAATTCTTTTCAGCCCATTCTCTGATTAGCATTTATGTGAACTCTTAATCACCTACATTCTTAAATAATGCACACTGCTCTAATATTCATTGCGTTTACTATTTATTGAGCCCTACTATGTACCAGGCACTCTCCCAGGTACACCTTCTTCAAGGAGCTTATAGTCTAGTAGTAATAGAAACTCTGTTTTGTAATATTTTGTAAATTCTTTTATTGAATCTTCAATACCATGCCTTTTTATTATACTCCCTCTTTAGTATTTATGCAGTTATTTGTTATTCAATGTATATTACAAAGAATTTACATTTTTGAATATTGTCCTTTTCATGTGTATGTCTAGTACAGAAATTGTTTTCAGAATTCCTGGGTACCAGATGTAGTCTTGTTGTGTACTGGATATGTGACCTTGTGCAAGTCCCTCAGTTTTTCATAGTGGAGGTACCAATAATGCCAGCCTCCTTAATCCTCTTAATGCTGTATCTCTCGATAAGAGAGTAGAAGTCCTCACACCAAAATGCGATCAACTTTGACCAACCAGTGAAATTATTTGCTTCTACCCTATCCTTTCTTCCTCACCTCCTTACAGTGGAAGCAGTGTCTACATTCTGTTCCTTCTCACTCTCTAATGGATGATTATAACTCTTCATTGATCCTTTAGCACATCTTCAGCTACTCTGTTTTCATTCACATTTAAACACTTGAGTTTCTTCCTCCGGAAAAAAACAAAAATTCATATCCATCCATTTGTGGTTTTGTACACAACTAAATCTGTCTGTTTTCTTACCTCCTATGCACTGTACCCCCATCATGCCACTGAAGCTGCTCTTGCCAGTGTCACCAATAATCTCCTTATTACTATTTCTAGTGGGTCTATAATCCTTACCTGCAATTACATTTTTGGAAAAGAAGGTGGGTATTGATAAAGTCTGTAAGGCGACAAGGACTTTGGGAGAAAGTTTGATGTTCTTAGGGCAAAAAGAAAACAGCTTTCTTTTCATTAATTCATTGACAAATACTTATCAAGCACTTTATTAATCATTGAAGATACAGTAGTTAATAAAATGGATAAAAGTCCCTTTTTCCCTGGAGCTTGTTAGTTTGAGGAAATAGACAAACAAAATAAGTAAATTATGTGTCAGATAATGATAAAGGATTATCAAACAAAAATAAAGCAAAGAAGAGGGAGTAGACGTTTAAATAGGGTGGATTTTAGATGACATGGCCACGGAAGGCCTCACTAAGAGTAAGACATTTGAGCAAAGACCAGGAGATGAGGGAAGGTCTGGTGCAAATATCTGGGGGAAGAGTAGGCCTAGCAAACTATTTATTTTGTCTAAGCAAAAATAGTTCTTTGTCCTATGAAATGTTTTTATAAAGATTTTTATTATGATAAGGAAGACTGGATATTTTGGGGTATACTTCTGCAAATTGACTTTTTAGGATAAAACAGTATTCATGATTTAATCTTATAGAAAAAGTGAAGACAAAAACTCTAAAGCTAATTTTATTTCACATTCCCTTTAGCATCTAAATGGTTGCATGCTTTTAGAGTTGGGACAGTTTAAATAATGGCATATTTATTCCTTAAAAAAATGTAGATCTTTTTTGAGTAAGTGGAACATTAGCTGAAGTAACATAGGACAGATTTATAGGGCTCTAAACTAACTTACTGAGGTTCAACAGAAGCCTTTTCAGGAGGAGAAATTTTAGCATTTGTACACTTAGTAGTATTTCAGCAAAATAATCACTTTTTTGAGAGCAGTAAAACTATACATTCTCTGCATTATATTCAAAACACTAATTTATTTAAAGGAGAAAGAAGCCTTAAGAACAGACTTACAGATTGGCTCCACTATTTGGGAAGATTCATGTGCTTGTTATTGGAATATGGTCATTTAGTCATCAGAATGGGGTCCTAAACCCTCAAGTGGACTGCAAGCTAGTTATAAATGGATTAATATGATTTACATAATTGGTTAGTTTTCAGAGAAACCTGTTAGATATTTAGAAAACCTTCAACAGTCAGAATCCAGAACTTGCTTCTCTCTTCTCTTTTACCCCTCACAAAGGTAACAGATTTTAAGAAGTACTGGAGGGCTTACCTGGTGGCGCAGTGGTTGAGAGTCCGCCTGCCGATGCAAGGGGACACGGGTTCGTGCCCCGGTCCGGGAAGATCCCACATGCCGCAGAGCAGCTGGGCCCGTGAGCCGTGGCCGCTGAGCCTGCGCGTCCGGAGCCTGTGCTCCGCAACGGGAGAGGCCACAACAGTGAGAGGCCCGCATACCGAAAAAAAAAAAAAAAAAGAAGTACTGGAGACAAGGAGTAGGCAGGTGGCACACAATTTCATTCATATTTAAGAGCCAGTAATAATGAATCACTGGCCATTTTTCCTGGTTTCTTAACATTGTAACAGGCAGTGAGAAACAAACGTTTCCCTAAATTTTGGTTGTCTTACAGGTTTCAAGTTTCTTTCCTTCAGTATGACTATTAATTATCGTGTATTGCTTTATATCTGTAAGCATGAGAAGCACTGAATATCTAGGAAACATTTTAGGGTTTAATTTGGTCATTGGCTCACATGGAGGATGGAAAAGGAATAAACTCTTAACTGAGCTTGATAAGGATGTGATCTTTTAGAATGAGGTGTTTACATATACACTTGTACAAGGTTTTGCCTGTATTGTCTAGACCTGAGCAGTGCTAGTGCAACTGCTAAAAAGCATATATGACTGGTAAAGAAGTGCTGATAAGGTGATATTTGAGAGACTATATACTCTACTAAATAAATATTCTCTCTTAGCATTTTTAGTTGGTCTGTGATAGCCTTCAATTGTCAAGTACTGTTGTCATTCCCAAGTGTACAAATCTTCCACATTTTTTACCCCCCTGTTTTCATCTTCTTTCTGCTTGCTTAGGAAAAAGAATTCTCCCATCTCTAGTAGATAATATTTAAGGTCCATTCTAGCCAGAGTCTAAGATCCTTTTTTACTGTGTTATTGATATGGTAACATTATTGATGAGAGAGCATTCTGGTTCCATTTCAGGAAAATTAACGACAGGATGTCATTTCCTTTACTATTTACATGGGTATTTATCATGGGATGATTCAGGAAGAGAGAAATCAGATTTGAAGTTTAAACAACCATAGAGAAAATGATTTGAGGGTTGTTTTTTTTTTTGCGGTATGTGGGCCTCTCACTGTTGTGGCCTCTCCCGTTGCGGAGCACAGGCTCCAGACACGCAGGCTCAGCGGCCATGGCTCAACGGGCCCAGCCGCTCCGCGGCATGTGGGATCTTCCCAGATCGGGGCACGAACCCGCGTCCCCTGCATCGGCAGGCAGACTCTCAACCACTGCGCCACCAGGGAAACCCTTGAGGTTTTTTTTTAATAACTTATTTCTAATGCCCTCCCTCCCCCATTTCAAAGATAATGAGTTCATGATTGTCTTTCTAGGTTTTCCTGTTACTAAACAGTTCTGTAATTTTGCCATCTAAACACTTAAAACATTTTGATGTCTATCCTTCCCATGTGTTTTCAGTACACACACGTTTAAACAATTAGCCTCAATTGTTTTACAATCTACTTTTAAAAGCTGTATTATGAATATTTTCTATGCTATTAAATATTCTAAAATATTTCCAATAGCTGCAATATAGTACGTTATATGTAACAAGATTTAATTAGTCCCTCTGGTTAGATGTTGTTATCTGCTTTTAGATTTTTGCTTTTATTAATTATACAGAAGAGAACTTTGCATAAATCTTTGAATACTTCCCTGGCTATTTCTTCAAGATAAATTTTCAGGTGGTTTCATGGGTATAATATTTTTAGTTTTTGTTTCAGCGAAACAATTACTCTTTGCTGGAGGAAGAAAACTATATTTTTTGAATGCTCATATGCCAAATACTGTGCAAGATGCCTTGTAGTCTCATATTTCATATAATTTTAAGCTGTTTTCATCCCCATTTTTATAGATGAAGACATCTATATGCATATGTGTAAGATATTTTGCAGTACGTTAACAGTATGTAGAAAATGTTTAAATGTTTTGTTTAGCAAATAACAAAGGCCTTCAGCGGTCACAGGAAACAATCAAGTTTGTAATTCTGTTTTGGCTTTGGAATATGTACTATAATAAGACTTCATCTTTTCATGTTTTATTGTTCAGTGTAAAGGGTTTTAGGTCTTAAAATTATATGTTAATTGGCATTTATAGCTCTAGGAGGAAAAAAGTGGGTGATTCCCCTTATGAATTTTGGGTTTTGCTCATATGACTACTGTTATAGATGATTAATTTATAAATCACATTTTATCTTTAAATTAGAAGCAGATAATAATTGTCTGCTAGGTGAAAATGGTTTCCCTTCACTTAAAACTCCAGACATAACTTTTTCAAATTTTGCACTTGCAAGATCTAAGAGGGGAAAGTTCAGCGATATAAGGATGACAGAAGGTTGCAGAGGAAGGGTGAGAGCAGTGAGGTGACAAGACTGTATGCTTTTACAGAGCTAATTTAGAATCCTTTGCCTACTACTTCATAGAGCTACCCTATGTTGATAAGTGAGGTTGTTGTTTTTAGGGCCTCGTATTTGTTATCTAATGCAGTGGATGTTTTGTCTCAGTCACATAGATCAAACAACAACATGGCAGGACCCCAGGAAGGCCATGCTCTCCCAGATGAACGTTACATCCCCTACCAGTCCACCAGTGCAGCAGAACATGATGAATTCAGCCTCAGGTGAGTGAAATGCTGTAATTAGAGCACACCAGGTAATGCTCGTGCATTGATAAAACTTTCTGTGGAAAATAGTCGTTATTCTTTTAAGGAAGCTGGAGCATGGATGATGGTTATTTTCTATCCACTTTCATAAGGGAAACTTATCTTATTTCAAATAACCTGCTGAAAGCCAACAGATTTTAAAGTTTCAGTTCTGAAGTGAATATCTCAAATTCCTAGTTTGGTTAACTTTGACATGCTTGTGTTTTATTGTGCCGCTTTCTTGTGTCTCTTAGAGTTGAAGCTTCCCCCTTCCTTTTGTGGTTTGGATGGGAAGCCAAGCTGTGGTGTTCTTATCTCACCTCTTAAAGTGGATGTTTGTTCTATCTTGAGAGTAACTGGAAGGTAGCAACTTATAAAGCTCAAAGCATCTTTCTTAGGGCCGGTACATGTTATTTAACACATTTCCACCTTTTTCACGGAAGATAAACCTGAGTATAAATTTTTTTTCTGTCTCCTGTTTGGCAGTTTACTTAAATCTGCCGTTTTTCTCATCTATATAATGGGTAGTGGTCATGCCCCTTATTATAGAGAGGAAGATATTAAAGGAAATCATATAAAACATATAAAGCTTTTATATTACAGTTCTAGTACGGAGTAGATACTAAGTAAATCTTTAGTTCCTTCTTCCCTAGGTCAGTTAGATATTGTCTGGCTTCTTCTTTGTTACATGGGCCCAAGGCCATAGCTACCCATTAGGCATCTTTGTGCATATTAGGAAAAGGTACCCCTTCCTCTGGGAAGATGCAGCCCTATGCCTGGCATCCAGGATTGAGCATTTGGGCTGGATTTCTGACCATTCCCCTACCTCACCCAAACACACACAAACACACTTTATCCCCTTTACTGAGTGTCCTGGGTCAGGGCACAGATGGCAACTGTAATTGGCAGCCCTAGTGGCCTTAATGGCTTCCTCCTTCACAGCCCATCCATCTTCCCTACCCAACAAACTGATCAACATGATACTATTGGAAGCTGCACTGTAGATTTTCTTAAACAGCAGCCTTTGGAAAGGGGCTGGTAGAGTTGGAGAGGGTGGTACAGTTCATTGTCACAAGGATTCCTTGACCAGGAAAGGTCACAAAATTTGAAATGTCCTTCTGCCCCTAAAGATGGTGACAATGTGTGAGAATGTTTTTGCTGTTGCATTAACTCTATGTTCTTGCCTTTGGTGGGTTGAACACTTGAAAGGATTCAAGAAAATGAAAGTCAAGGCAAGATTCATGACTGAGCTTCTCTTGTCATAAAGTTTCTGTATATAAACTCTTGAAGAGTTTATATAATCTTCCATTTTATCTTCCATTTTAGCTAATTTTAATATCAGTACATTTACTTATCCTCAGAACCTGTTTTATATGTGACACTTGAGTTAAAATTTTTCAAAAGCAAAAAATTATGCAAGTATTTATTGACTGATATTTTTACTTGACAACCATTTTTTAAATTATCAAATTTCCAAATAAAAGTTCTGAAAGCTGCTTCGTATTTATAATCCGAAGAAGATGACGCACATTTTTTATTTTGTCATAATCCATCAAAAACTATACCTGGGAAAGTAGTAACAAATAACTCATTAATTTAAATTTTATTTTGAAAGATTAGGCATTTTGCATCTAAAAGATTGATTATGATTCTTTTAGAACAGTGGTTTGTTTATGTTTTTCCTATTAAAATTTCTAATAGTAATGGTCTAAGGAAATGGGGAGAATTTGTGTTCAGATTTATGTTTAAAACCAAAAGTATATATCAAATTGGTTTTAATAGATTTTAGAATATTTGTGTATCTTTTATTTCAGCTCTGCGTTTTATAAAATATGAAATGTGTTTTTATATACTGCATATAAATTAATAGACATGCTTACTGCTGTATATTAATAAAAGAGGTGACTGGCAGGAACAGTTTGAGTAAAGTGGCAAGAAGCACGATTGTAGTGGGTGGGTAGCGGAGTGGGGGGGGCATTGCACGAGACAGAGAGGGTTGGAGGGAGGACCTGAAATGGGAAAAGCCACCCCCAAAGAGACCTGAGCATGTTTAAATGGTAGTAGAAGGTGTTAAATAATAATAGGAAGCCCTGTTTATATGTCAGGCTTCCTGATGAGGTCATTTTGTACAATCTCATTCAATTCTCATAATGGTCATTTAAGTTAGGTGCTGTTATTAGTCTCACTTCACATCTGAGAAACATTGAGTGACTATTTAAAAACAAATAGAAGACTTCTACATGGTGTTGAAATGCTTGGGAATGAATGTCATGGGAACTATAATCTTGATAACCTCATGTTCACATAAAGTTATAGCCATAATGTCATTTTAATAAGGGTTCAACCCAGGGTCTCCTCCTTATCCATCTGTAACAAACCCATGGAGTTTGGCGGCTGTGCATTCTCCACTGAGGTTACACAGCATGATTTCTCAAATAGCTTTAAGAGAAAATGATCTTATCTCTCAGTCAAGGATTTCTCCTTGAGAAAAGCAGCAAAATTGATGCTCCTCTGTGCTTGGAAAATAATCTTCTGAGTTTTTAGAGCCTGGAGCCAGTGAGCAAGAATTGTGAGGGTATATAAATAAATTTCCAGGGTATTTACTGTAACAAAGCAGCAAGGCTGTTTCCAGTTAAGCAGGGTATCTACAGACAATTTTCACCCTAAAGGGAATGCCTTCTGAACCTGGTAATCTGAAGCCTTTGAATAAAAGAGGAAGCTACACAGCTCTTTTGAAGCACTTTACTGGGTTAATCAAGCTAAATGCAGCTTGATTTACATTTTTATCATTAATTATTTTAACAAGAACTTTCTAGTGTTAGTCTTTTTAAAAAGCTCTCCTCATTCAAATATTTGAGTCCAGCTTTGTGTTCTGTTCTAATTATTTCTAATCAGACCACTTTCCTTTAAAATACTGTATTTTCTCCAGACTCTCCAGTTTTCTGCATAATTTTTAATGGAACTGAATAATATTTTAAGATTTCCTCCAGTTCTAAGATTTTATGAAATCCAATTTCACTCAGATTTGGTTTAGCAAAAATGATTAGTTTACTTTTGCTTTTTATAAGTCCTTTTTCAAAATATGAGGTTGAAATGATGAATTTCATTGCTAGACTGGAGATGTGTGATTTGTAATTGGCCAAATTTCTAAATATATGTAATTGAGAAATCACTTAAAACAAAGCTGCACCTGGAAAGGGTTCCTTACTTGATCCTAGGAAGAAATTTATATTCTTTAACTGTCCATTTAATTGGCAAGACAGTGAACTTTGTGAAAGGAATTTGAAAAGTGAGGAAAAGAAAACTATAAAATTAAAGGAAATTTGAATAATTTAGTAAGATAATAGTTCTACTTTACATTAAAATATATAATATTATATACACACATATAAAAGTATACACAAACCCTATTCCGTTAAATTACTTGATGTTGCCCTTTACAAGTTATATTAAAAATGTATTATGCTTATAGCACATTAGTAGCCTTTTGATGCATGCTTGGGATCTATATAAAATAGTTCTTCTGCATGCTAAGAGTTGGGTAAACAGTAGTGGTTTTTGTTTTAGACATTAGAAGATAAGGACTTGGGGAGAGAAAAGTGGTAATTCTCCTTTAACCAGCTCTATTTATATGAAAATGTTAAGTTTTTTATTAGTAGCTTGTTAACAGTGACCCACAAGATTGCTGAATCTTAAAGCAGCATTAAAGTCAAGAAAATATACCCTGTGATAATCCAGAAATAACTTGGTGCCAAAGGACTGGTGACTGTTTAGGACCATTAAAAATTGTGTAAACCTTGATTTAAATTATACAAAATCAATGAGCCCAGTTGTCTGCTTTTTTAAAATTTACCTTTGATAACAATCCAAAGTCAGATGTCTTGTTACAGGTACATTTTAAGGGATTCATTATTTTCATGTTTTAAGTCTGGCATTTATTTTTGACTAATGCCCAGATTTACCAATGCAGCACTTTCTGATTTCCCCATTATGAAAACCTGCATGGAATTCCTAGGAAATATATCAAAATGGGTGGAGAAAATGCCCTCTTGATCATGGAAGGTGATGTGTGTTGGAAGAATTTGCTAAGCACCTCCATTGCAGTGGGGAAAATATTCAGAAGCAAGCAGAGTGGGTAGTACAGAGCTTCCTTGATATTTGCCTGCCGTATTACTTCTGCTTTGTGTAATCTGTGTCAGAGGACCAAAGACCAAATGGGAAAGAGAGATTGTTACCAAGGAAAATATGACATAGGACAGATGTGAAATGTGAAAATAACAGGTAGAAAGTTGATATGAGTTTCTTAGCTTTAAAAAGCACAGAAGAGGTAAGGATGTATGGGAAGTTGCAAAGCTGACCACAGGTTTTAGGAGTTGATAATTCTTACTTCATGTGTTGTAGTTCACAAACTTCTAAGTTCTACTTTTCACCTTTGGAGTGAACTGAGAAGGAATTTAGAATAGGGGTTAAGATCAAGGGCTCCGGGGTCAGGTGGACATGGGTTTGAATCCCAGCTCTGTCACTTAACTGACTATGAGGTCTTGGATAAGTGAGTATATCTACCTGTGCCTCATGTCTTCACTTGGAAAATGGGGTGACAATAATAATAGTAACACTGAATTTATAGGGCTATTGTGAAGATTAAATGACACAATCTATATAAAGTGATGGGTACATAGAAATTAGTATTAACAATATACCGTGCTTGGTATAATATATTGAATATATAAAAGTAAATGTGATCTGACCTGATATTTTACAGTGTAATCAGTTTACATTGCCTGGTAATTACTGTTACTTCATTTAAAATAAGTTTTTAAATCTGTTACCACACTATTTTTTAGGGTTATGTTTATCTCTGTAAGCTTTTTATCATCAAATATGCATCATTGATTCTTACGCAAGTCATGCGCTGTCTTCTGGCTTTTAGTTTCACATAGATTCTCCAAGCGTGAGAGTGTTGATAAGAGTGTTAAATA